TTAGTAAAAAAAATTACTTGTATAATTAATATTTATTTAAAATTATAGTTATTTTTGTAAGAAAATATTATTTCTAGATTTTGTAAATTTTTGTAAAACAAATTGGGTTAGGTTAACAAATGATTAAATTTGCTTTATAAACATAGTACATAATAAAATTTTCAACATCAATAAATATGTGTTTATTTTACATTTTCAATCGAAGGCATTTAGTTTTAGCCGATTTTTTCAAGTTAATCTGATGTAATTATCAATTTAAAAGTTAATTAACTTGCAGTTTAAAAACTTTTTAAAGTACATTTTTGAGTTCACAGTTTGAAGTAATTGAGTTTTAAACAATTTTACAACTATTAAATAAAGTTTTATTTGTTCATAGTGGCAAACAAAAATAAAAAATCGATCGTGAAACGTTTGAATATTCTAAAAACTAGAAATTAAAAAACACTAACGTTCCTGCTCAGATTAGGAAAAATTGCCTGAAAAGTATTCAGAAGAATTTGATCCGCGAAAGCCATTTGGGAAAAATAAATAATAGTTATACACCAACAAACCCAGGAAAAAATCTTGTATCATATAAGCTTCATGATATTGATAATTTATACATAGCACATACTGAAGATTCGCTTTTTGAAGGTGTTCCAAATGCATTATACGCAATCGTTAAAGATATTCTAGATAAAATTAGGTCATTGAAGATTACTTTGGAGATACAGATAGAACCTCCGTTTGTGGTCAATGTTTAGTATCAGACAGCTTCTCGCCAGTCATTGGAAATTTACCAAATAAATTATCTCAATTGGCCATAGAAGTCAAATTGATTTCACAGTATTTGAAATTTTACGACAAGTCTGAAAATTTCGAAGGTATCATTTTTGTTTGATATTGTGATATTCTTAGGTATCATAAAATCTTTTTGAACCGTGTTGCATTACCAAGTTTTTTAATGATTCATGTCAATGTTATATGTCTATTATTGTGTTTAATTTTGTAATTAGTACATCATTTTTGTTAAACTTTATGCACACTTTGATACGTCATTAATATTTTTGTATTTATATAGAATGTTCATTTTAATTCTATTAAAATGTATTAATTTAATAAAAAACTTATTTTCCTTTTGAATATTGTTCATATTATTAGTCAATAAAAATGGACAAAAATATTTTTGCATAAAAACACATCATTTATTAAGAGCTAATATTTATTTATTTCAATATTTATTTATTTTTGTAATATACAATACAAAACATGATCAAACAGAAAAAAAACAAACAAATAAATATTGAGTACGCCACAGACGGCAATTAGTACAGAATATGAATACAAAATATTTAAATAATTAAAATACATCGCTACAAATAGATTTAAACTTGGTTAAACGGTCATTAAAAAAATGAAAATTTTTAATTAAATTGCATAAATGTAGCATTCTATTGACTGGTGAATAATAACTATAACTCTGACGATATGAGTTAACATAAAATAAATTATTAGATCGGAGATGAAAATTAGGAACACTAAAAAGAATTAGACTTAACATTTTTGGACAATCTACAATATTATTAAGAAGATTATAAATCCAAAAAACATCACTGCATTTTTTCCTGCAAGCAAGGGAAGTTAAACCAAGAGAGATTCGTATTTCATCGATCGACACATCATAATTCCTCGACTTAAAAGAAATAAATTGTAAAAAACGTCTTTGTATATAGATTGTATTTTATTAATTTCACCTATTTTATATGAACACCAAATAATAGATGCATATTCTACAATTGATCTTACAAAAGAGATATACAACGTTTTGATACACAAAATATTATTGAATTCATTACAATTTCTTATCAAAAAGCTAAGTGTTCGTGACGATTTATTGTAAATATAATCTATATGATTAGAAAAAGACAAATGGCTAGATAATATAACTCCTAAATCTTTAATATTTTAAACATTAAGCAAATTACAACCATCAATCGTGTACTAATTAATATTTACATTTTTAGAACGATTAAATGTTATCTGATGACATTTATTTGTATTAATTACTAAACCATTTTTTCTACACCATAAACTGAATCCATCTAAATCTGATTTTTCCAAAATTATCAATTGATTGAATGGTCATAAATAACTTAAGATTATCCGCAAAAAGCAGATAGTTGAAGTGTTGAAAAATTTGACATAATCATTAATAAAAACGATAAAAAGTAAAGGAGATAAATAGCCACCTTGTGGTACTCCTGATGTAACTTTAATTATACTTAAAGTAAAATTACCTGTTTTTATTTGTTGATTTCTATTTTTAAGAAAGGAAGAAAACCTTGCAAGCATTGGATTACCTACACCCAAAATTCTTAGCTTTTTTAACAAAATTAAATAATCAAGTTTATCGAAAGCTTTTTGAGATCAGTATACACAGCATCTACGCGGCCTCCAGAGCTTATATCAGATATTAATTTATTTTTTTATTGGATGTTACTCTAATTCTTATACCTAGACAGTACTATGTGTACTGTCAGAAAATGAATTGCAATAAAAATAGCAGCATACACTGCTCACCTCTAGCCATTACTTTAAATTGTTAATTACTTCTGAAATACTAATCTAAAAGTTGTTATCGACCAGTTATTGTCTTAATTACATTATTATCTATTAAATAAGTTGACATCCCTATTATTTATAAAGAAGAATGATTCCAAGAAGTAATTAACAGCTAATAAATCAAGAAAATTATATTATGTTAACTAAAATAAACAAATATTTTATATTCATATATTAAAATTTTTTATCTGTGGTTGGGTTTATGATAAATCGATCACTCTATATAGTGCATGCCATACGGCTACACTTAACTTGATATTAATTTTTGTTGATGAATAATGAACTAAAGAAATTAAGAATTAGTTTAACAAGATAAGTAATATAATTTTGATCTATAAACTTTTTTTCACTTTTTAACAAATGTGATGTAGGAAGTTTGACTGAAAATTCTAACCGTTTACAAAAGAAAACATCGGCACGAGGCTAATTGAGATACGTCTGAAGGAAAGAAAATGGTGTTTTTTATGCTGTTGTGCGGGCCCACGTGTTAAGGAATTGAAACTTAATTAAAAAACACTCACTTTTCGTTAAAAATGTTGAATGTGTTATGTGACATGAACAATAAATAATACAATACAACATTAACTCGTAATGTTAATATAAGTGAATAGGATAATGAAATATAATAACATAGATTGGTTTAAAATGAAGCAGAATTATGACATGGAATAACAAAAGAGTGTAATTAGCACATACTAAACGTCGACTGACTATACGAGACCTGCAATGGGAGCCTTTAGCCCATCGTTGCACTATATCCTTTGGTCTGCATATTCTTGTGTCTGACAACAAACGGACGACCATGTTCATTATTCTACGTAATTAAAAAATAATATTTAGGTGTTCTTAACAATAATTGTGACTGGTTCATACCTAGTTTTACTAAAAATATTGACGAGGAACCGTAGATGAGGAAGTGACGTACAAGACGTACATTTCTGATATGAATACTGCTCAGTCGCAGGAAAATAATCAAATGAACTTAATTACTAGTTCAAGTTCACAATATACCATTATGTAGTTCAACATGATTTCGGTGGCACAACACGAATTCTTTTCGGTAGCTGATACAAATAAAGATAATTATGGAGAAATGGCCTATTATAACATGAATTTAAGTTACTTGAGAGTAAATTTTAATGATATTTCTAATATCATTGGAAATCAAAAAAACCGCTGTTAGTAATGACGATGTTATGACTTTAAGCGCACAAAATAGTTCATATTTGACTACTACAAATAATGCAGGTAGTTTGACTGCAAGTCAAAGTGTTTACAAGAAAAAAAAATGAATTTTTAAGAGTAGTCTTTGATTGAAAACATTCTTTTATATTATTTAATAAATTATTAAAAAAAAAATTAGTCATATATGTACAAGAACTTAATAATATTAGGGTAATCATTTCTTTTTTTTTGTATTAGCATTCTGATATTATGTTATCTATTTTATACTCCATTTAATTTGAATGTAAATTAATATAGATGTATTAATTTAAATTAAATAAGGACAATTTTCTGTTTAAAAATATAATTGTAACAATTATGGTAAAATCTTTAGTTTTATTATTGAGAAAAATTAATTTTTTTAGCCATTATGTAATTTTATAATTCTCCTAGTGAGCTTAAATTGTTTAATTATAAATTTATTTAATCGAAAATTCTCATAAACATTTATAGTAAAATACTTCGACAAATTATATTATTTGCTATATAAATGCATAATAGGATCATAGAGACATGAGTTCGATTAGACTGCATAATTTATGTTTTAGTAAGAATTAATTTTTCAATAATTTGAATTTTAATGAACTGTTAATTATTATTTTGTGGAATTCCTTTGTGTGTTGAGTTGAACGCATCGAAACACACGTTTTGCCTATACAATTCGCCGTTTCAATGTATATGTAATATATGACTAAACTTTCACTACTGAACTGAATATAATATAAACTGAATGAGTGTAAAATAATTACGAAATAGTATACAATGGCTTACTTATCAAAATACTTTGATAAATGAATAATTGTTAACCCTTTGTCACCTGCTGTCGCATACACGCAACAGTAAGTGTCAAAGGTTAATAAAACATAAGAGTACGCGTGGGCACGTGCTTAATTTTTATAAAAAAAAATAATTTTTTTAAAATAAAATTCCTAATATATACAATGTTTTTGGAACATTTAACTATGTTTAACATTTTGTTGGGATAATGAGTTTGTATAAGTTTTTAAATAAGAGATGTTTGAAATGAGGAGAAATACGCAATAAAGTCTAAAACCCTCTAATACAAATCCTTGTTAATACTTAAGTTATTTCTCACATAATTCTACACATAATCCCGAGGATCATTTTAAACATTTTTTTAAAACAATTTCAAATTACTCAGTCTTAATACTAACCTCTTCAGCACTTTGCATAAAGCTTGAACTTTTAACGGCATCACAACTGTCCTCACGGCGTAGACCGTTATTGTCATAGCCGTTGTTTGTGCTGTGGTGTTTGTACTTTTTCCACATCATCCTTAAAAAGAATAAATAAAATACTTTTAGCGAGATTCACATGGAATGTGTAAAATTCACTTACCTGACACCTAATATAAGCAGTAAACCCAAAAACAACGGTATTATCGTTGCTATACATGCTAGTATCACTGTTTGAATTTCAGTCAGTCCTAAAAACATAAACATCGAAATCTGTTAAACTAATCTGTTAAATTTCGATCATAACCTTGAAATTGATTAAACCTCAAGTGATATATTTATAATAATATCAATTATATAGTAAATGTTAGAGGGGTCAATCGTCGTCTGGTGTACGTATAATACTCAACGAAGACCGACAATAATTATTGTAACGCTTTTAAAATCCGAACTCGCGGTAAATGTGTTGACATACTTAATTTGTGTAAACGTATTGATTACTATAAAACAATGTCGATTCGAATAGATATTTATTTACATCACATAAATACAGATGGTTAAATAGATTAGTAACACTTATAATTTTATTAGTGCTATATTACTATCAGTCAAAAAATAATTAAATATGTTGTAGTCAGTGTTGGGAAAATCTAGATATTTATACACAGAGTGTGATTTAATAATTTGAATATATAAACTAATATAAAAATTAGTAAATTACTGTGGGACACCATATAAATATATACAAATTGTATTATCTTTTATCTTAGATATATGACTTTATAAATGGTTATCTTTAATAGTTTTTTGTTATTAGATATTTGTTAATAATCTAGATAATATCTATTTGTATTTATATGACGTTAAGAAATATCTATTCGAACCGACATCTTGTTATAGTAATCAATACGTTTAAAGAAATGAAGTGTCACATGTTTACCGCAAGGTCGGGATTTAAAAGCTTAAAATTATGATTATTATCAATCATTTTTCCGTTATTTTTCGAAAAAGCAATAAGCAAAAATTCATCATGGAATTATCTATACAATAACTCATTTTGAATAGAATATTCAGCTGGATTACTGTGTCTATGATATTTATAAACAAAAAAAGTTTGTCTTTAATAGTAGTCACGTTAATAATACTAGGTAGGAAGACGGGTGTTTTTTATTTTTTATTCTATCAACCTGTTTGAAATTCATACAATTAGATGGTTAAATATTGTGACAATACTGAACAATGTCATGGACAATTATATCAATAGGAGTTTAAACGCAAAATTTAAGTTTAGAAAGTTAAGTAAAGTAGGGATCTAGCGAAATGGAGCTTAGGAATTTTTAGATTAGTATTGATAAATATCTGACGGTGATATTTTACTTGAAGAGACTTATGAAAAGTAGCATATGGCAAACAGCCTATTGCGTACCGTAAAGTGGCATAACTTTAATTTTAAATGTAACTTTTTATTTATTATAATTTTATAACTAGGGTGATTTCACCAATGAATGAACAGCTAAGAATTATTATATTTTAAAGTACTTTGTTAATTCATATTTTGATGTCACACTCGCTAGATCAGTAATTATTTGTTTTCTGGAAAATTCTCTACAATAATAATGAATACATATTTATAATTGACTAATACAAACTTTTATTATAAATTTAATTAAGTTAATGATATTTCATCAAAAAATTGTTATACTATAGTAGGACTTAATTTAGATATTTCAATCGGACAATTTTTACATGAAAACATAATGGTTTTCACTCACTGGTAGTGTTCTTTTGTGGTGATATTAACGTTGTAAATATTTAACATTAGATACCATCTCAAAATTACCCTCTTTTACGGTATAACTATAGCTAGTGCATATAGAACTAGTGTGTTAGGCTCTTAAAGATTTACTAAAGATATCATTTCGAAAATTAAATACAATATCTTGGAGTCAAACCTAACTATAAAAATGATTTATTTCCCTATCAAAAAAAAAAATTTCAAAAAGTTCATGTTAGAACCTAATCATTTTAAGAGAACAATAAATTTTGCTAATTAATTTTAAAAATAAAAATTACTTTATATAATTATTTGCAACAATTCAAACAATAACTATAAACATTCATAAATTACAAAAATATTAAAATAATGATCACTATAGTAGGTTAGTATACTAATATAAAACAACTGCATTATTAAAAATATTTAATATATTCTATTGAAAAGTAATAATATGTTAATTTATAATAAAAAAATGTTTGAGTTATTAAGAATACTTTCAGATATATCTTTTATGTATAAATAATTCGCTGTAGAGTTTATATTCGGAGCGACAGTTACTGGTTGAAAGTTGGAACTATACTAGTTTTCTACTTGTTTTAATAATTTTTGTTTTTGTTATCATGAAAAAACTGATCAATAAATTATTGATATCTACATTGCCCAATATTTTAGTTATCTATTTCTTTTTCTTTAACTTCTCACTATTTTTTACTATTTTAGATATTTCGTTACATTATCGTTCCCAATATGTTATGGATTTGTGTACTTTATTAAGTATTTTCCGGGAATAGTTTGTCTTGTGGTAGTAGTCAGTATTAATAACATATAATATGCAATAAAAATAATTAAACTCTTGATGGTTAAAATTGAGTATTTTTAAAATTTTGATTTTTGTTTGATATATAGAGTTATCGATAAAAATAATACTCCCATGTTTTCGTAAAATAATGATTTTTTCATTAATATGTACAGATTTAAGTTTGATTAATTATTATAAACCATAGATAATATTATTTATATTGTAAGAAAAAAAAAAATTATACCTTAGAAATAATTAAAATAATACAGATAAATTTTAAAGAAATAAATAATTTTAAGTGAACTACTAAAAATATATATAAATAAAATTTAAATCCGTAAAATTTAAAGAATAATAATTATTATGTAACGATAAATGAATGGTAGTATTCTTAACAAATCACACTGAAGATAAAAATATGTAACAATATCTGTGTAATTTTAATAAATTGTGTGTAGGATTTTTGTTATTTTTTTAAGACAATAAAATAAAAACCCATTTGCAATGAAGAAGCGGGATGAAGTCGCTAAGAAAATAATTAATAAATGAAGTACAGGAATTTATCAGCAATTTTTCTAGATACAAAACAAAATATTTTATGTTTAATCATAATAATTTTTTCTTTGAATATCTTAATCTCATTTAGATGGACTTCAATTCGAATTTCAATATTCAATCTAAATGACTTATTAGTTATTTATATACAATAATGAAGTTGTATTCATGGTCAAGCATCATACAAATAATTTTGTTTTTTAAGAAAATAAATTAAGTAGGATTTCATGAATAAGTCAATTATCTTGACAGTTATAAGCGATGTATGAAAAATAATTTACTTTTAAAATTATAATTATATTCTAAGTAAAAATTTTCTAAGTATTTTGCCTTTTTTTATAATTTTAATCAGTCAATTGCGTCAGTGACATTTAAAACAGCATAATGTTATTTGAAATATTTCCGAAAGACACATGTATATAATTTTATTTTTGCTCCATTGGTATGAATACTTTCGTGTCTTACCATAATGATAAGTTTGCTCTAGTAGAATGTTATCGCAGCACTATCGAGTATTAAAGAACCGAGAGTTATGGTCATTGATAACTTAAATGGAATAGAAATAAAATACTAAAAACTAACAATCTAAGAGGCCCGTCTAATCAAAACCCATAAATATTCTTGTGGACTTTCGAGGAACCCTTATCCGTTTCTAGAAATTATTACACACCCAAGTCGCTAGTATTATAAAAATGACCGTCTGCTTTAGACGGTTTTCGTTCTTAGTAGCTCTTTTGTAAGATTATAACACAAAGAAATTGAATTTAATACCTCGTCTCATATAGCAAAGAAAGTCGTGTTTATTAGAAAATATGAAAAACCTTTGTTATTGAATACACTGCGTCTATATTGACATAGATTTTATTACAATTTATTTGCTTTATTAATTGGTTCTTAGAAATATTGAAGTTAGTGAACTTTTATTTTGAATGTTTTTCTATTCTTTATATTGATACAGGAGATTAAAATTTCTAGAATTTGTCTTAGAAATTTTCTTTTCTTTATTAAATTATAAGTTGTATAATTTACATTTTCTTAAGTATTGTTCTAAATAAATTATTTAAAATAGCTTTGAGTCAGAAAAATATTTCCATTATTACTTTTGCGAGGTAATAGAAAAGATATATTAAATATTTCAATATAAAATAGTGATTAACGATGGGAGTATCAATAAATTTGTCGTACTTTCAATGTAAAAAATATTCATTCATACAAAAAAAAGTATTTAATGGTAAAATCAATACATTTTGAAACTTTAAAAATAAAAGCGGCGCAAAAGTAACAAAAATAAAAACACCCGCTAAATTCGAGTACCTATCGTCGCAACGTGCAAACACTCTCGTTTATAAATACATTTGATTTTGTTTTTTTCAATTAGTAATAATTACATCGCACTAACCTGCGTCTTCTAAGTCTTCGGCCAATAATCCTGTAGCGTTGACGTTGGCGTTCGGAATCCCAAGAACCCAGTCATCCTCACTGGTTAACACGTTTTGTTCGTGCGTAAGCGTATCGTTATTCATTTTTCTTTTTCACTAAAAATTAATAAAATCGTCAGACGACTGATAAGTCGGACCGATTTACATTTGTTTCACAACATCGTACCTGATATGTGCCAAGATCCTGCGGAACCGAAACTGTGCCGGTTTTGCCTACACACCATAACACTGTTGGGTAGTCACACGCGCCAACGGACTGAACTGAATAGGCAATTTCGGTGTGCGACGGAATGAATTGTCGGGCGAAAATAGTGTACGGTGTGCTTTTCGTTCCGACTAGTAGTGTGGTGTGTGTGTGTGCAAATCTGGCACGGAGAGGTGAAAGTTCCGGGTGTACAGCGTAGCCGAGAGATGGGTATAAAGTCTGTTTCATTGATTATGCCCCTCCGTCGGTACCCGGGACCGGCGTCGGGCGACTTCGGCTCCGGACGGATTCGCATCAGAGCAATGCACAGCCACGCCACGCGCTGGCATACTATCCCTTACCATTTCTGCTGCTTGGACAGCCGTTGTTACGCTTTGTATTTTCATTGACCACCTTCGATTCATATCACTGAAAAGATTATTTATTGTTTGATGCAGACTCTAATTTCAATAAAAACAATTCTTGCAATGTTTTTTAAATTTGGAAAAACAGTTATTTTGTTTTATAATTTTAACTGATAAATCTAGTTGAGTACACTGTTGGGTAGCTATAATAATAAAAATAATTTCACCCCATACATTTATTGATGTTTATTATACTGCAAAACATACATTATAATACTTGCAACAAACATTTCACTGGATAGATGTATTTAGGGATGGACATAGGAGAGTATGTACTCGTGTATTGAAATTTATGACGTATAACTGTCATAAACAATTATAATTATCACTATGGAGAATGTACAAAAATTATTACACTTATGTTTATGAGTGAATCTATTATAATGTAAACCTTAAATATTTCTAGATACTAACAGTAGCGAAAAATGAGTTATCATAATCACAATATGTTCTTTTCTTTCAAAAATATATTTCTGAGGAAATTCTAGTCAAATGGGAACATTTTTTCTCCATTATCTAAAAATTAAAAAAAAGAAAGTAAAATTCTTTAATACATTTGATATTATTGAAAAATATTGAGTTAAAAATAATATCTCTAAATAGTTATAGGCAATTTACTTGTATAGTTACAATATTTTTAACAAATTTGAATGGAGAACAATTGGTAAATTGACAATAAAAAATTATTTTACATCTAAAAATATTAATATGCTATATTCAGAGAAAAAATTTCTAAATTTTTTAGAGAATAATATTTTTCGATAAAAAATAGCAAAATAAATGTTTTTGATTAAAATAAAAACTACTTCTTTATTTCATTACACCCATAAATTAGAACCTGCTGATAAATGATTTAGTAGTTAATAAGTAAATCGAAGACTATAAATTTTGATTCTCAATATTTTTATGAAAATGGAAAATGATAATAAAAAAAATTTTTATTAATATTTTAGTCACAAGCTATCCGTAATTTATCTTAATACAAAATATTAAAACATTCAATAATTTCAGGTTTTCTGAATGATTATTTATACGTATTAAACGTTAATCGAAACTTCTCTACTTCCATTTATTTTATTTCTGAGTTTACAGTGAACATCATTTGAAATATCTTAAATTTATATTGTATCCTTTTCAAATATATCCAATACCTATTTTTTTATTAATTGAAACATTTTCAATCACATCGAGTACAATTTTTTAGCTTCGATGTCAAGTTTTGTCATGATGTGTTTATTTTTTATTTTTTTGTGGCTGTCACTACTTTTTCTCGGCTCTCACTTAACTGATTTTCTCAATGATACGTCAATGATATGTTAAATGATTACAATTCGTATTTAGTTGAAGATATTACCCTCAAAAATTGAAAAAAAATCTTTTAATCAAATAAAAAATAGCTTAACCAGCTTTCTCCATACAAACAATTAAAATAATTTATATATAATATTTTTAAAATATTTACTGTCGAATTATTTATCATTAATTAATAATAAATGATTCTTTTTTAATTTATAATAAAGAACTAAGTTATTGATTAATCTATAACTTAGTTCGGTAGTTTAAAAAAAAATTTTTAGTCAAATTTAATTCTTTAGCCGACTCCAAATAGTTTAGATTAAGGCGACAAAAAAGAAAAAGAGTCAAATTTAATTATTGATAAAAAAAATTATCATAAATACTATAATCATCGAAGAGAAGTTTGGCAGTGATTTCAGTTGCTGCTCAGTATTTAAAACTTAGACTCAAATTATGTGAAAGGCAGGGCAATTTTTGTAAGCTATTTCATAAATTCGATATTAAAACTTGTATTAATAAAAACGTATTTAAAAATGTCCAATATTTTGAGTATATACTTACACAATTAAATTATTTTTAGCTTAGAAATTATTATCATAATTCTTAATTAATCTAAATGGTACACAACTATTACGAAGTGAATCAAAGCATTCCATTAGTAAGTGGCACATTGTAAAGATATTTTATTTTTGGCGATTTATTACTTTAAGCCGAAGAAAGCTTTTTTAGAGATTTTCGAGTTCACAGTCTAAAGTAATTGAGTTTTAGAGTTTTAAACAATTGTACAGCTATTAATTAAAGTTTTATTTGTTTATAGTGGCAAAAAATTATAAAAAATCTGTTGTTAAACGTATAAACATTTTAGAAACGAGAAATAAAAATCACACTCGTATCCCTGCTAAGATCATTGAAAAGAATCGCGTGAGAAGTATTTGTAAGAATTCGAACCGAGAAAATAATTTGGAAAATAAAAATATATCAACAAATCCAGAAGAAAAGCTTGCACCAAATGAAATTAATGAAGTTGAAGAAAGCTTTCTTAAGACTTTAAGAAAAAGAATTACCTATGAATCAAGACGTCAAAAGTAATTTTATTATTATCGTTCTTAAAATAAACAAAATTACTTATAAAATTAAAAAACATAGAATACTTACTTCACGAGTAATAAAACTTTAGTGTTTATATGTTTTATATATGTTTTATATGTTATATATGTTTTATATATGTTTTATGATTATATTAAAGACATTTACCGTATTAATGTATCTTCTAACATAAATATATGGGTTGAGGCTTAAAAAATAAATTAAGTAAAATGACCAAGGAAAGAAAACATTACTTCAATATATAAAAATTATTTTATCAATATTTTTTTTCGGATAAATACAATAGTAATTGTTATGTATAGTATTTAGAGATAATGTTTAAAAAACTAAGGACAGGAATCTTAAAATATTTTTATAGCAATTAAAAATTAAATCAAACAATAATACATATTTTTGAAAGTTTATAACATAACCGTGTTTATTTTAAAACAATCGTCAATTGTGTCTCAATGCCGAACTGTTAAAAACTATACCCGATCAAAATAAAATCTCTGGTTTGAAAATAAATAAATCTGAGCCATTGGAGGTCCAATAAATTAAAGAAAGAAAAATGTTTCACAATCCTAGTGAGTATATTTTTTTAAATATTAAATACTTCTATTGTCCTGAGTAAGGAAATATATATAAAAACTGTTTTATGTTTAATATAAATTAAAATGGTATGATTCTTAATAATTTCTACAGTATTATTATGTAATCTATATTTATTAATTTAAGCATAATCACAATTTAAATAATCAAAAAATACTACATATAATTTTATTAAATTAAGAATTGTACTAAATTTAAATATAATTTATTTAAAAAAATATTCCTTTACGAGATAATGTCCAATTTTTATGTTTTATTATGCATCACTTATCACCTAATAAAATTAACACCTAATTTTCAATTAAAATTTGATTAAAACTTGCTACTATCTGCAATATTTAGATGTATTAACATTTTTCTAGCTTTCAATATCCGGAAAAATCAGCAAATAGCTGTTGATATTGACTGTGCTACAAGTTCTAATTTACAAAAAATAAGGCATCATCTATAGGATACTTTATTGATACGCCTCAAGGTGAACAAATGGTGTATTACTATACTTCCGAATCGTATAGACTAAGTTTTGCAAATTACATAGATATTACTCTAGATTATGAAGATGAAACTCATGATAGATCTTATATGAATACCGCAAAGTCGCAGGAAAATATTCAAATAAACTTGACTCCTAGTTCAAGTACTCACAATAGTGATTATAAAGAACAGCAAGTTTATGATGATAACACGAATCCTTTTCTGCAGCTGATTATAAGAAAGATATGTATGGAGAGTCGGACTGTTATAACACATGTTTTCAACAAAACGTCAAATGACCATAATTAGTATCTAATTAATTATATTACCTTCAAAAATTTAAATAGATTTCGCCTTTATCAAATAAAAATTTCTTAACCAAATAAATTTCTCCATATAGACAATTAAAATCATTCTTTTATAATGTTTATAAAGTATATATTGTCAAATTAGATTTGATATGATAATATGTTTCAACTACAACGTTGAAAAATATTACTTTGTTATTTATTAATTTTTTAACTTTATTTGTGTGTTCTTCTGTCATGATATAATATTCCAAATTTTTTTGTAACATGTTTCTTAATAAATTATATCATCTTCTTATTTTTCCTCGCCTTAATCCTAACTACTTGGAGTTAGCTACTCTTACCTTAAACTTCCACTTGACACGATCACCCACATCATCAACTCTCACATAAGCCGTCTTCATATCGCATTCAATTACATCCTTCCATCTCATTTTTGGTCTTCCTCTATTATTTCATCCTTTTACATTCATTTCCAAAACTTATTTTACAGTTTCCGATTCCTCTCTTTTCATAACATGACCAAACTATGTAAATCTATTTTCTCTCATCTTATCCACGATTGACACTACACCTATACTTCCTTTTACATGTACGATCCTTACCTACCTTCTCTAGTCACTACACTCATCTATTTAAGCATTCTCATCTCTGCTCTACTTACTTGTCAAACGCCCAACACTCTGAAACTTACATCATAGCTGGTCTCACTACAGTCTTATAGAATTTACCTTTTAGCCTCATTGCAATCTTATGTAATTTATAATTTAAATCGCCAAAATTTATGTAACCGCGCCCACGGCAAAATATTAAATACGACCATACTTATTTTGCTCATATACACGGATTTCTAATTAAAACATTATTAAGCGGTCTCATGTGACGGATTTGTAGGGTCTTTGTACTTTTCAATCTAATGGGTTTATCTAAGTTGAAATTAAGCTAAAGACCCTATAATCTGGGTTTTCGGTTCATCTCATGGAAGAACTACGCTGAGAGTTGGTTATCGGTGCTGGTAGCGAAATTTTAAAACGTGTCACGGCTC